CCGTCCAGCCCTAGCCGCCCAAGCCTCTCGGCCGCCGCTGCCCCGCCGCACCGGCGCCGTTCGCCGCCGAAAACCGCCGGTTTTCTCTTCTTTTTTTCTCGTATTTCCCTTGTTATCTAACCCCTTTGTATCTAGTGCTACAGTAGGGGGAGATCGGTTTATTCGAGGTGAAACCTGATTGGAGAGGAGCTGCAGCCCCGAAGACATCGCTGCACCGCCCCACGCGCCGCTGCATCGCCCACGCGCCGCCGCTGCTGATTCGCACGCGCCGCCGTCGCCTCACCGTCGGACCAGCTGCTATTTGGTGGTATTCCTGCAGCCCCTAGGAGTGGTATAACGCAGCTTGTACGGGTTTGAGTTCGGATTTCGATTTGTCGAAATCTCACGCTACAAGAGGTAATTAAATCGGAACTTTCATAAATTTGATTCGAACATGTTTGTGTGAATTTTAATTTACGAGCATGAGTAATATGTGATTACGTGTTTCGATTTTTGCAATATGATGAACAAGCATGTTTTATATTTTTTCGGTTTTACATGTTTTAATAAAATAAAAAATTACCATGTGTATGGCGGAAGCGTTAAGGTACGTTGACTATGTGATTAGTTCATGCATGTAATCGAAACTAGTTCGATCTAAAAAATTTTAAATTCCGCTGCGTACATGTACGATCCCCAACACGTATTTCATTGACGTAAATTTGTCTGTCAATTCTTCTTCTTGGGTATTGGATACGGGCCGTGGCTCACATTTGTGCAATGATTTGCAGCTAATGACAAGAAGTCGAAAGCTTAGAGCGGGTGAGACCTACCTAAGGATGGGGAATGGAGCAAGAGTTGCTGCTGAAGCCATTGACACGATTTACTTAAATGTTTTGGATTCTACTTTTTCTATTGTTTTGAACGATTGTTTATTTGTTCCGTCCCTCATTAGAAACCTTATTTCTATTCCTGTATTAGATATTGAAGGTTTTACTTTTGTTTTTGGAAATTCGATTTGCATTATACAAAAGAATGAGAATTTGATTTGCAAAGGACGACTGTTAAACAACTTGTATGAACTAAATCCAAATGAAATACCTATTAATGTTATATCAGCAAAACGTAAGGAGATAGAACAAAACCCCGCAAAACTTTGGCACGCTAGATTAGGTCATGTCTCTTTAAGAAGGATGAAAGATTTTGTTAGTGAAGGATTGCTCTCTTTGGAGGACGTGAAATCACTACAAACTTGTGAGTCTTGCCTTAAAGGGAAAATGACCAAGTCACCCTACAAAGGGAAAATGGAACGAGCCGAGGGTCTTTTGGATTTGATCCATACAGACATATGTGGTCCACTAAGTGTTAGTGCGAAGGGTGGATACAACTACTTCGCTACCTTTACCGACGATTATTCTAGGTATGGGTATGTGTACTTGATGAAGTACAAGTCCGAAACATTTGAAAGGTTCAAAGATTTTAGACACGGAGTAGAGAAGCAACTCGGACGAAGTATTAAGAAACTACGATCCGATCGTGGTGGAGAATACTTGAGCATCGAGTTCATTGACTATCTAAAAGAGAATGGAATACAATCTCAATGGACTCCACCTGAAACTCCTCAACTTAATGGAGTTTCCGAACGTCAGAATAGGACCTTATTAGATATGGTTCGATCTATGATGGGGTTCACCAACTTACCGGCATACTTGTGGGGTCATGCACTTTGCACAGCCGCGTATTTCATGAATAGAGTTAACACCAAAGAAGTTAAATCCACACCCTATGAACTTTGACATTCCCGAAAACCCAACTACAAACATATTAGGATATGGGGTTGTCCCGCTTATGTGAAGCGATTAGTGGGAGACAAGTTGGATAGTAAATCTGACTTGTGCTATTTTGTGGGATATCCCGAAGACTCAATGGGATACGAATTCTATTATGTCAAGGAAGCAAAGACGTTTGTTTCGAGAAATGCCACCTTTTTGGAAAGAGAGTTTCTATCCGATAGAAAATGCAGCATGATAGAACTTGAAGTAGTTCAAGAACCACAAAGTGAAGTTCAAACGCAAGAACAAGTAATCGAACCAATTCAACAATCCACTAATATACCTCCTGAACCTACGGTACGTAGATCCGAAAGAGTTCGGAAAATGCCGGATAGGTTATTCCTCCTCGAAAATGATGAAGATCATGTTGATCTTGGAAAAGATCCAAGAACATACAATGAGGCCGTATCGGATGCGGACATGGGACATTGGCTAACTGCCTTGAAATCCGAGATGGACTCCATGTACTCCAACAAGGTGTGCACCTTGGTAGATCCACTTAAGGGAATTGTTCCTATAGGCTGCAAGTGGATCTATAAGAAGAAAATTGGAGTTGATGGAAGGGTATCGACCTATAAAGCTAGATTGGTAGCGAAAGGATACACTCAGAGGCAAGGTGTTGACTATGAGGAAACCTTTTCACCAGTCGCGATGCTGAAGTCCATTAGGATTTTGCTAGCCATAGCTGCGTGGTACGACTACGAGATATGGCAAATGGATGTGAAGACCGCCTTCCTTAATGGAGACATTGAGGAAGAAATTTACATGGCGCAGCCGGAAGGCTTCATATCTTCTGGAAGTGAGCAAAAGGTTTGCAAGCTCCAGCGATCCATTTATGGATTGAAGCAAGCATCCCGTAGTTGGAACATTAGATTCGACTCAACTATCAAAGAGTTTGATTTTGAGAAGAATCCGGAGGAACCTTGTGTATACAAGAAGGTTAGTGGGAGGGCAGTGATATTTTTAGTGCTTTACGTTGATGACATTCTACTCATTGGGAATGACGTAGGAATGTTGCAACAAACGAAAGCATGGTTGTCCACACGTTTCTCAATGAAGGATTTGGGAGAAGCATCTTATGTATTAGGAATACGCATCTATAGAGATAGAGCAAGAAAGATGCTTGGCTTATCCCAAAGCCTGTACATAGACACCGTTATGAAACAGTTTAGCATGGAAGAATCGAAGAAAGGATTCTTGCCAATGTCCCATGGGGTTTGTCTCTCGAAATCTATGTGTCAACAAAAACCTAGTGAAATCGAGGAGATGAAAAGGACGCCTTATGCTGCTGCCATAGGAAGCATAATGTATGGCATGCTATGTACGAGACCCGATATTGCGTATGTTGTGAGTGTCAGTCTAACCCTGGCCTGGCGCACTGGAAAGCCGTGAAAGATATCCTCAAGTACTTACGAAGGACTAAGGATATATTTTTGGTCTATGGGGGTGCCGAGTTGAAATTAGAGGGTTTTACCGACTCTAGTTTTCAATCGGATGTGGACGACTCAAAGTCGAATTCTGGATTTATATTCACGCTTAATGTGTGTTGGAAGAGTTCCAGGCAAAGCACGACGGCCGATTCCACTACCGAAGCGGAATACATTGCAGCGTCCGAAGCTGCAAAAGAAGGGACTTGGATAAGGAAGTTCATCCAAGAGTTGGGTGTCGTTCCTAATGCTAGTGATCCAGTACCGTTGTACTGTGATAACACCGGAGCCGTGGCGCAAGCTAAGGATCCGCGATCTCATCAGAAGTCAAAGCATATTCTGAGGAAGTATCATGTGATCCGAGAGATCATTGATAGAGGTGAAGTTAAAGTAGAACGAGTCACCTCGGAAGAGAACGTTGCAGACCCCTTTACGAAGCCTTTACCGAGATCGGTCCATGAGAAACATCGAGAGTCGATGGGATTGCGATTCATGGGTAGTTGGCTTTAGGTCCAGTGGGAGATTGTTAGAGTAGGTGACCAACAAGCCAACATGTGGCTGTGGTCTTTTGTATTTATTATTGTAATAAACAAACCTTTATTCGTATTAATGATAAAAGACCTTGGCATTCTATATATTTGTCCCTTTGTGACAAGCATAGATATAGTCCTTATAGTGATTACAAGTACTAGTAATTGATCGTTAGGATCGTGAGATATTTACTTAAGTAGTATAACTGTTAAACGTGTTCCTAGTCGAAGGGTTACGCCACCAATGAGGATATCGGCCTTTCCCATTAAGAGACTAGCACTTAGTGTATGTGTACTGCATCTCATCAGTAAACGGTATTGTGATATCGACATGCATAAGTGGGTGCTCGTAAGTTGACGAGTTCACTTATTTCCCTTACCCTAGAAATCTCTAAGTGGTTCCCAATAATCGAGTAGAGATTGTTGACATCAAAATTGAGATTAAATTACGAATTAATGGCCCAAATAAATTGGTTATTAATTTGGATCTCGATTAAAAGTCCATAATAAATTTGGGCTTATATCCATTTTTTGAGATTAAATTACAAATTAATAATCCAAATAAATCGGTTGTTAATTTTAATCTCAAGTCAAAGCCCGTGAAGAGTTTGGGCTTTATATCGAAGTACATACTAAATTTGGGCTCCGCAAATGTGTGATGTGAGTTAACTCTAAATAAGTACTAAATTCTTATTCATTTGGGTTAGCTATTTGGGCTTATAAAATCTAGCCCACGTGAAGTGGCAAGTGGTCAAGCCCACCGGTCCAAGTTTCAAGTCAAGAAACCCTAAAACCGAGTCTATAAAAGTAGGTCTCAAGCATGTACACAAGCATCAAGCAAGGCGTACATCAAGCACTCAAAAGCTCTCAAGTCTCGAGCTCTTGCCACGACGAAGAACAACAACCGCGGAGGTTCAGCACCTTCATCGAGGCGCCATATCGACAAGACTTAGAAATCCCCAAATCGATTTCTAGATATTCATATCTACTGCCGCAAATCAACGGTGGAATCAAGCTCTCAATCCTAGAACAAGCTTCGGCCCTTGGATTAAATCTAGGAGAAGAATCAGAGGAATCAACAAAGATTGTAACCCATTTTCGTTTTGATTAAAATATATTTATTTGTTCCTATTTTTTTCTTGTCTTGTAATTTATTTTGTAGACATTTAAATTTGAGGTTAACAAATTGGCACGCCCGGTGGGACAACTTTGCCTCTCATCTCCTCTCCTACATGGAAGCGCATATCCACGTGTTCAACGATCCAATGGCTCCAAAGAAGAACCAAAACTCTTTGATTCAAAAGGCTACCGAGATTGCCACCGTTGTTGGTTTATCATCCACCGGGGGCAAGATCGATAATACAGCTACAACAAATGGCTCAAGCTCCTCAGGCTCGGAAGAGATCGACTCCAAATCTCAAGCCTTCACCACATTGCCGGTTATGGTGGTTGATGCGACTTCTGTGGATGAGCAATTGGCGCACTTGGCCCAAACAGTGGCCAATCTTCAAAAAATAGTCGAAGACAAAGACATGAAAATCGCTCAATTAATGGATAAGTTGGAACAGTCAGAGGTTGGGGAGTTTAGCCCGAAGCACGAATCTTACCCGCTTCGTGACGAGAAGGCAAAGCAAGTGGAAGAAGCACATCCCAAGCCGGACTTCGTGCAAGGCGCCACTCATTCTTCGATGTCTGTTGCCACGCTATCTGTACAACAATTGCAAGAAATGATTGCCAATACTATCAAAGCGCAATATGGAGGACCATCTCAAGTCTCACCCATGTACTCAAAGCCGTACACTAAGCGGATAGATGCATTGAGGATGCCAGCGGGATACCAACCCCCAAAACTTCAACAATTCGACGGAAAGGGGAACCCCAAGCAACATATTGCTCATTTCATCGAAACTTGCAACAATGCAGGGACTAACGGCGATCTCTTGGTGAAACAATTCGTAAGATCACTCAAGGGAAATGCTTTCGATTGGTATGTCGATTTGGAACCCGAGTCCATCAACAGTTGGGAAGGGATGGAACATGAATTCTTGAATCGCTTCTACAACACGCGTCGTACTGTGAGTATGATCGAGCTTACCAACGCGAAGCAATGGAAAGATGAACCGGTTGTGGATTACATCAACCGTTGGCGTGCACTAAGTCTAAATTGCAAGGATAAGCTATCGAAAGTGTCGGCAATTGATATGTGTATCCAAGGGATGCATTGGGGGCTTCTCTACATCTTACAGGGGATTAAGCCTCGAAATTTTGAAGAATTGGCTACGCGTGCCCATGATATGGAGTTGAGTATCGCGAACCATAAGAGTGCACTCCTGCTAGATGGTCAAAAAGGGGAAAGAAAGGATTGTAAGAGAAACGAAAAATTCTCTAAAACTTCTACCAAGGAGTCAATGGCCATAAAAGCAGTGGGTTTGAAAATTCCTTCGAAGAACGAAGATGACAAAACCGGTGAACATCGAATATCAAACAATAGACGTCGACCCACGTTGAAGGAAATGCAAGAGAAAGAATACCCTTTTCCGGAATCGGACATCTCCCATATCTTTGATGAGCTGTTGGCAAGGAAATTAATTGACTTGCCGGAACCAAAACGGCCCGAAGAAGTAGGAATGATGGATGACCCAAAGTATTGCAAATACCATCGAGTTGTTGGCCATCCCATAGAAAAATGTTTCGTGGTCAAAGAGAAGATCATGAGACTCGCGAGAGATGGCAAAATAATACTAGATACTGAAGAGGTTGCCAACACGAATGTTACAAGTGTCACTCCACTCTCAAGCGACACATATCCCGCATCAAACACCCAAAAATGCCCGCCTGCACCTACAAAGAAAGTGTCTGCATTTCAATTTGGGAGTTTGGAACCACAATTGATAAGGGCTTTATTTCACGAGGATAAAGTCATACACGAGGAAAACCCCATCTCTGCTATTGAGGATGAGGGAGAATGGATTCTAGTGACACGTCGGCAGAGACAGAGGGGACGTGTTGACAAACTTCATGTAATGCCATCACGAAACCCACAGCCAATAAAATACATTCACCATGCCAAATCCAACAAAGGCTCAAAGGTGAGTGATGATGCTTCAAGAAAATCTTACGGAAGTTCGGTTCGCAAGCACGTGACTTTGAAAGAGTTCTTTCCGAAAGAGTTTTTCATGCAAAAAGTTGAAAGAGCATACGTTAATTCGGATGAGAGCGACCATCAACATTATATTCCTTGTTGTGCTGCTATGACTTTCACGGACGATGACTTGTTGTTGGGATCTAAACCTCACAATCGTCCGCTCTTTGTTTCGGGGTTCATACACGGGCAAAAAATTAACCGTATACTCGTAGATGGAGGGTCAGCTGTCAATATCTTACCAAAATCCACCATGAGACAGTTGGGGATTGCTACCGAAGATTTGTCTCGCAGTCGCCTTACTATTCAAGGATTTAACCAAGAAGGCCAAAGAGCTATTGGGATGGTTCGTTTAGACCTCACAATTGAAGAGCTAGCGGCAAGTACACTATTCCATGTGATTGATGCAAGAACCTCTTATCACTTATTATTAGGAAGGCCATGGCTTCACGAAAATGGAATTGTCCCATCTACCCTTCATCAATGCTTCAAATACCTGAGGAATGGAGAAATGATGAAGGTCGATGCTAATGCGAAGCCCTTTACCGAGGCAGAATCACACTTTGCGGATGCCAAATTGTATCTAGAGTCAAACCCGAAATGCGAAACGGTGATTTCAAAGGCACCGGTATGTCACCCTATTAATGGAAGTCATATGGAACTCGTACTGACGAAGATCAGTTGCACAAAGGACGAGAAGGTGGCCACTTCAGTTGAAGCTCCGATGAGCAAAAATGACGGGGCTGTGAGGAAATTGAGTTTGCCAGTGTTTCGTTGCGCTCCTCAATCACGTCGAGGAAGCCAAATTTTGTTCAGTGAGTGTACCACATTATTAGAGGATGGACAAGAACGACCGAAGGAGCAAGAGCCAAGCCATTGCCACCTCATTAGGGAAGGTTTAATCATGCCTATTATCGGCTTAGGTCCATTGGCGCGTGAGCAGACGCATGATGTTGTACCCCAGTCTCAATGGCCTAGGGAGGCGTATGATCCAAGATCATATAATTTATTAGCTAAGTCTGGTTACAACTTCTCTAATCCATCTCGGCTAGGCGAACTAAAACCTGAGTTGACGGGCGAAAAGATTCATGGGTTAAATGAAACACAAAGGACGTTAAGGAGACAAGGTTTTCGCGTTAATCAACCCAAAGTCGGTTTGGGATTCACACCCATCGAGCCGGTTAGAATTCGCGTTTCAAGGAAAGGAGAGTGCGCCAACGTCCATCATATCACCATAAAGGGGGTTGGAAATAAAAACAAAACTAGCGGTCGCATTTCTGCTTTTGATCGAATTGGGGCTCCTACCACCCGCTCTTCTGTCTTTGAAAGACTTGACGCTCATGTTGCGCGACCCTCAATCTTTGAAAGGCTTGGTCCTTCTAATAATGTCTCGAGTGTTCACGATAGAATTTCTACAGAAACTCGTTCAGTGTTCTCACGACTGGGAAATCACAATAGGAACCAGCACGGAAAAAGAGTGCGAGAGGATGAGATAGATATGTTTGAATCAACGGGTGAAGCTCAAGCTCATCAAATGCTTCAATCACGCCAAATGGACCAACCACTCTTAGTTATTGCCATGAATGGATCAGTGAAGGTGAAACAACGTGTTACCAGCCATCATGCCTCTAAAGAGAACGGAAATCGAAGCGATGACGAAGTCGAAATCATCGTCAGCAGTCATTACGCAAGTATTGTTGATGATCAAGAGGAAGTTTCGGAAGATGAAATACAAGAGGCCCTTGTACAACTGGAGGATGGAGGGCAAGCTACTCTTGATGAGTTAAATGAACTGAACCTGGGCACATTAGACGACCCCTGCCCAATATTCGTGAGTGCAATTTTGAGTCCTGAAGAGGAGGGACAATATCTTCAGATATTAGGCGAATACAAAGATGTGTTTGCGTGGACGTACAAAGAAATGCCCGGGCTGGATCTCAAAATCGCAATCCATCACCTTGGTATAAGAAATGGAGCGCGCCCCGTAAAACAATCGCAACGTGTGCTCCGTTCCGAGTTAATTCCTCGAATTGAAACTGAAGTCAACAAGCTCATAGATGCTGGATTCATCAGGGAGGTCAAATATCCAACCTGGATCTCTAGCATTGTACCAGTCAAGAAGAAGAATGGTCAAATTCGCATTTGTGTTGATTTTCGGGACTTAAACAAGGCTTGTCCTAAGGATGATTTCCCCTTACCTATCATCGAGCTCATGGTTGATGCGACAACCGGACATGAAGCATTATCTTTTATGGATGGCTCTTCCGGCTACAATCAAATTAGAATGGCTCCGGAAGATGAAGAATACACGGCATTTCGCACGCCAAAGGGAATTTACTACTACAAAGTAATGCCCTTTGGACTAAAGAATGCAGGCGCTACCTACCAGCGTGCCATGCAAAACATCTTTGACGACATGCTGCACAAAAGAGTGGAGTGTTAGGTCGATGACCTCGTCGTCAAAACAAAGAAGAGAGAAGACCATTTAAAGGACCTTCGGATTGTATTCGAACGCTTGAGGAAATACAACTTAAAGATGAATCCTCTTAAGTGTGCTTTCGGCGTCTCTTCCGGCAAGTTTCTTGGCTTTATAGTCCGTCATCGTGGTATAGAGGTTGACCCCTCTAAGATAGATGCCATTCAAAAGATGCCTGCGCCTAGAAATTTGAAAGGGTTGAGAAGTTTACAAGGAAATCTCGCATTCATAAGAAGGTTTATATCAAATCTCGCTGGAAGATGTCAACCATTCAATCATCTCATGAAGAAAGACACACCTTTCGAATGGGACGAAGGATGTCAAAATGCTTTTGAAAACATAAAGAAGTACTTATTAAATCCGCCCGTCTTAGGAGCTCCTATACCCGGAAAGCCACTCATATTATACATAGCAGCTCAAGAAAGGTCCGTCAGTGCTCTTATGGCGCAAGAAAATGAAAACGGCAAAGAGTGTGCCTTGTACTACTTGAGTAGAACTCTAACGGAGAATGAATTGAGATACTCCCCGGTGGAGAAAATTTGCTTGGCACTATTCTATGCGATTAAGAAATTGAGGCATTACTTTGAAGCGTACTCCATACGACTCATTTCACGTGCCGATACAGTCAAATTTGTGATGTCAAAGCCAGTGTTATCTGGAAGATTAGCAAAGTGGTCTATCATGTTCAATCAATACGGGATCACGTATGTGCCTCAAAAATCTGTTAAAGGGCAGGCACTAGCTAATTTTCTAGCCGACCACCCTATTCCGGCAGGGTGGGAGTTATCCGATGACCTTCCTGATGAAGATATTTTGTTTACCGAATTTCTTCCGGCATGGGAAATGTTCTTTGACGGGGCCGCACGGTCTGATGGATCGGGGGCAGGAGTTGTTTTTGTGTCACCCGAGAAACAAGTTTTGACATACTCGGTAGTACTGGGCGAGCTCTGCTCCAATAATGTGGCCGAGTATCAAGCTTTGATCATTGGTCTTGAAATGGCTTTAGAAATGGATATTACGGAGATTGAAGTTTATGGTGACTCAAAATTGGTTATCAAACAACTTTTGAAAGTATATGAGGTTAGGAAATAAGACCTTATTCCTTTCTGTCAACACGCTTCGGACTTGATAGCGAAGTTTGAAAAGGTCATGTTAAACCACATTCCGAGGAAAGATAATAGGATGGCCGATGCGCTAGCTAATCTAACAACCATTTTAGCCTTGTTGGAAGGAGAGACAACAAGTGTTCCCGTGTGTAATCGTTGGATTGTCCCATCGTTCGTTGAAGTTAGTCATGAAGACGCTAACGCTACATCAATTTCAATCAATGATGATCAAGATTGGAGAATACCATTGATCAATTACTTGAGAAATGGAGAATTACCCAGCGAAGTTCGGCATAAGATGGGAGTAAGAAAAAGGCTGCCTCGTTTCATCCTTTACAAAGATACGCTTTATCGTCGGTCTTTTGAAGGCAATTACCAGCGTTGTTTGTACGGTGAAGAGACGGCTGAAGCAATGAAGGAAGCACATTCCGGGGTTTGTGGTGCTCATCAGTCCGGTCCGAAGCTACACTTTCAAATTAAGAGAATGGGCTATTATTGGCCTACGATGGTCAAAGATTGCTTGGACTATGCAAGGAGATGTGAGGCTTGTCAACTACATGCGAACTTCATACACCAACCTCCGGAGCCCTTACATCCTACAGTCGCCTCGTGGCCATTTGATTCGTGGGGTCTTGACGTCGTGGGACCTATTTCTCCTAAGTCGTCCGGAGGTCACGCTTATATATTGGCAGCTACTGACTACTTCTCCAAATGGGCGGAGGCTGTTCGTTTGAAGGAAGTGAAGAAGGAAACAGTGGTCGAGTTTATTCGTTCCCATCTTATCTTTAGGTACGGAATACCTCGATACATCATAACCGATAATGGAAAACCATTTTACAACAAGTTGATGGATAAGTTATGCGTGCAATTTGGGTTTAAGCAACACAACTCCTCAATGTATAATGCGGCTGCGAATGGTCTAGCAGAGGCGTTTAACAAAACTTTGTGCAATCTTTTGAAGAAAGTGGTCTCAAAGTCAAAGAAAGATTGGCACGAGAGGGTCGGGGAAGCTTTATGGGCGTATAGGACGACATATCGGACTGCCACTCAAGCCACTCCGTACTCCTTGGTTTATGGGGTAGAAGCTATCCTTCCACTTGAAAGTCAAATACCTTCGCTTCGTATTGCTGTGCAAGAAGGGTTAACCGCCGAGGATAATGCTCGTCTTAGACTTGAAGAGCTGGAGGCACTAGATGAGAAAAGATTAGAAACTCAGCAACAACTTGAATGCTATCAAGCCCGCATGTCTAAAGCATTCAATAAAAAGGTCCGCCCTCGTTCATTTCAAGTTGGAGATTTGGTTCTGGCGGTGAGAAGGCCAATTACCCTCACCCAGCGAATGGGGAATAAATTCGCGTCGAAATGGGACGGCCCCTACGTAGTGAAGGAAGCTTACACAAGCGGCGCTTACAAGTTAGTGGACAATGATGGATTACGAATTGGCCCCATAAATGGCAAATTCTTGAAGCGTTACTACCCTTGAAGAAACATTTACCTTCAAAGAAGAGAACATGGGAAATTGATGTTGCATGTTCGCTTGAACTACGTTATGACTTGATACCTTTGAGGAGGGTACGTAGGCAGCTTAGACCCATATTCTAAGTTCAGTCAAAACAAAAAAAAAAACAAAAAAAAATTGTTCTAAGTTGCCCTTGAACTACGTTATGACTTGATCCCTTTGAGAAGGGTACGTAGTTAGCTTAGACCCATATTCTAAGTTCAGTCAAAACAAAAAAAAATTGTTCTAAGTTGTTCGCTTGAACTATGTTATGACTTGATCCCTTTGAGGAGGGTACGTAGGCAGCTTAGACCCATATTCTAAGTTCAGTCAAACCAAAAAAAAAAAAATGTTCGTTGTAACTGCGTTTATTCTAAGCAAGTTCGGTTAATTTTCTTTTAAGTTAACCAACTTGTAAAATCAAGCGGATCCAAAAGTGCGCACGATGTAATTATCCAAAGTTATTATTTGCTACATAATGATGAAAAAAAGATGCCAAGACGATAGTAAGGCCTTAGGAGGAGCAAGAGAAAATTATATTGCATAAAAAAAAAAAAAGATGGAATGTTCTTTTACATCGAAAGATAGTAAAACGACATGAGCAAAAAAAAAAAAAAAAAAAAAAAAAAAAAAAAAGGGATAGCACTTAAGCGAACAAATCAAAAGCTTCTAGCTCCCGCCGAGATTCTTCAAGTAGTGCTTCCATCTTCTCCAAAGCTTCCATGTCATGGTTAGATAAGAATGGTGTATTCTCAAGACGAGAAATATTATCTCTTTTCATAGCTACAACCTGCTGCATCTTGGCCAAATCTTCTTCGACTTTACGAAGGGATGAACTTGCTGATTCTTTCTTGTTCCTCAGCTCTTGTAGTTGCTTGGTGATTTCAAGAATTTCAGCCTTCACATTGTTCGCCGTTTCGACGAGCTCACTCGCTTGCAGTTCAGCCTTGGAAAGATCACGTTGCGCAAGCGAAAGAGACTTCTCGTGCATCTCTTGTGTCTCTCTCTGCGTGAAATCCGATTTAACCTTTGTGTATTGCAAAACATCTTCAAAATATGACTTCAAGCGCTTCTCCAACGGTGATATGTCTTTCATGTAAGCTTGCATGTTTTTGAGCACCTTCTCGATCGCTGGCTTTATCTCGGAAAGTTGTTGAAATGAAGTATTCATAATCTTTTGGGAAATCCTTTGCCAATAAAAATTCAAAAGTACTCTTTCGGCTTCACTTTTGATGATCTGAGGAGAAAACTCGGAGACCTCACCATATGCCTTCTCGATTGCGGGAACGGGCAAAACTGTCTTTTGTTGTTGTTCGGTAGAAATCCTCTCCACTGCAAGAGAAGTTGTTTTTTGTCGTTTGTCTTGAGGACGCGAGGTGGCACCCATTTCATGTAAACCCAAAAAGTTGGCCTCGTTTACCGACCCCAAACTGACCTGAGAAGTAGGACGGACACCCTCTTCGAAATCGGGAAGCTAAAAAAAAAATATAAAAAAAAATATAAAAAAAAAAAAAAAAATAATTAAAAAAAATAATAATAATAATAATAAAATGAATCAAGAAAATAAGGGTGATTTATTTTACTGATCCGTCTAAAGGCAATGAAGAACTAGGCACGCCCTAAAAAAAGGAAGAATTTGCAACGGCTAAGTCAAAAACCTTGGATGTCTCTTTCGATGGACAGTGGTTGCTAGACTTGTCGTTCGAAGGTAAAAGCGCGGAGATGATCTCATTCCCTTCACCATGAGCAGCTTCGAATGCGGGATCAGAGGCCGCGTTATCAAGAGGAATACGCCGTTTCCTAGTAGAATTCTCCGCAGCTTGCTCGATGTTTCCCTTTCCAATAGATGAAGAAACATGAGGTTCTTTGGGGTCTTTCGCTGAAGCTCTTTGAACAGTGCGACCAAGTTTAAGTGATAACTTAGTGTTTGCTCCTAAAGAAGTTTTCCAACTTTTGGCCCACCATTTTGTATACTCTTTTGTCACCAAAAGAAAGGAAGATGTGTCACTTGGAATAATAAGCTTGGAGGATGTTCCCAATAAAGTGCAAGATTTCCAAAATCGGATGAGTTCGTGCAACTCACAAGTCAATATTTCTTTCTTTAAGTCACCTGGAATGCTTTGGCAAAAACCATGTTGGCGGCTGAATCTATGAGGACTGTACGCTTCGATGATGTGTTCTGCTTCACAACGGAATGTCAAATAGCTGGATCGCAAAGCCACAAGAATATCTTTGCATTTGCAGGAGAGTTTGGCATCGTCCGTGACTAAAATTTCTTGTTTGGAATACCACAAGTCTCGGAGCTTTGACATATTGATATTATGAAACAAGTCGCGTGCCTCATCGAGATCAAAATGTTTAGC